CCCCAAAGCGCAGGAGCAGCAGCAGCACTGGAATCCAGCTGCCTGCAAGCCGGGTGGGTTAGAGGAAGGTCTCATTTCAATCACAAGCCTAGTTTTTGAGCTCGTGCTGGAATAAAACGCCTTTAGTAATCCATGCCCCCCCGTCCGAAAATCCACGACTGATACCAGCCCCGTAGGCACAAAGGAGGGAAAGCTGAATTGCATCACGTCTCTCTGCGGCCGCATCCCATGTAGCGGATGTTGTTTCCAGCATGTAAATGAATGGCATCATTAAGGGGCCGATGCTGTCGTTTCAATGTCCAAGCTGGGGTCAGAAACAACATCGGCCATCACCACTGCCTTTCTCCCGGTCGGAGTCAGCTGGGATCCTTACTGCTGGCAACTTCGGGAGCATCGCACCAGAGACACTGCGGAGGGAGCGGATGCATCACAACACCCCGGCCACACAAATCAGTCCCTCTCTTCCCCGGGCTGGCTGCTAGGCTGAGACCCGCCAGGGCAAGCGAGCCTGAATCCGGAGTTGAAAACCTGCGTCTGCTCCCACCTGGAAACGTGGACCTTGGGCTGCGTGTTGGTTTGCGGAAGAAGAGGGGATTTTAATTACAAACAGTGCGGCATTTCGCACGGCGATGCCCAACGCACACTGCCACAGCCCAGCGCCGAGTAACCGCAAGCATATATAATCAAGCAGCCAGGAGAGAGAGAGAGAGGCAGATTGTTGTCTGGCACTAACCTGAGTTTAGAGTGGAGCTGCTCAGCATTGTTGGCTTGTTAATTGTCTTATATTAACCCGAATATTAACCTTGTATTTGCACTCTGCTCCTAATTAAAGCGAGGACGCATTCAAGTTTCACGTGGAAGCGGTCACATTTTTTCCTGAATTTGTCAGGGATTCTCCCCAGCCCAGATTCACAAGCAGGTAAAGGACACCAGGGTCCTTAGGAAAAAAACATTAAAATAAATAAATAACCCAGCCTCTCTTTATTAAAGAGAATGGCTCAATCAGGCTGCTATTTCTAGAGAGGAACCCGCTCACATGCACCAAATGCTGTCTGCCAATACACTTGGGGAAACCACCATTCTGTGTTTAAAAAAAAAAAGCTGCAGCAAATGACATCCGTGAGGTCTAAATAGCCGGATTCTTAGCAAAGACTCATGCATGATCTTACCTTGAGACCTTAGCAGCTTCTCCCCAAATTGTGCCTCCTTAATGAGCGAGGGATGGGTTTTGGCTGGAGAAGAAACGCAGCGATCTAGCCAGTAGATGGAGGTTGTTCCTTGTTCCTAGCAGAGGATCCCTATGTTAATTAAAATAAACAAGCTGCTTGGTGGAAAGATTTCCCCCCTTCTCTCTCTCCCACTACACAGCCTCTAATATAGAATTGACGTGAATTTCTAACCTCTGACCTCTTCCTAACACACGCTCCTACCTGCCTTTTATTTTCTTTACGCTTCAAAATATTTAAAAACCCCCAAAACAAATAAATAAATAAGAAAGGAGGAAAGGGAGGGAAAAAAACAAACCCAGAAACCCCACCTCCCGGCCTTAGCTGGTTTGTTGGGTTTTCCTAATCAGCTGTCTCAGCTCTCAGTAATCAGGTGAGGTGTTAATGGGGAGCTGGTTGTAAATAAAACTAATAAAGCAAAGCACATATTAGGAAATTAACCAAAAAAAAAAAAAAAAAAAGAAAGAAAAAAGCGAGGGCTGCTAAAATATTGTGTTGAGCTGCGTGTCCCCCCATCGAGTCATTTTTTCGATCTGTGCATATTCACATCTGAGCAGCAATTCCTCTGTGTTGTTGCCTTCAGTGCACATCCCCCCCACAAATCGTACTGAACCAGCTACGGAATGGATCAACCCTTCCCACTTTCACATAAAGCCTCTCTCCAATGGAGTCTCTAAACAGCAAACTTCAGCCTGATCTGATGTGATATGATGTACGGATGTGTGGAGCAACCTCGCTTTGCCAACCCCGATGAAACTGTGAGTTGTCATACAATACTGCGCAGTCAAACCTGGGGTAATTGCAAAAGTGAATCCAATTTAACCCATTAAAATAAAATCAGATGCCAAGAGGGATTGGAATCATTGCTGCTGAGGTGGCAGCACCGAGGGCAATTGATCCACTGACTCACAACAATAAGGAAAATATGGCTTTGCGAGTCATTTTTATACTTGGAGGCATCCTTCTTGCAGGGGCAGGCACGGATCCAGCACACAGGCAGGGATCTGGGGCTTTCAATCAGGCTCTTAAGGAAGAACGGCACCAGCGTCTTTCTCACCAATTTTCCCCGAAGGGTCTCAGGGAGAGGGGGCTGCATCACGGATCTCAATACCGCCTGTTTCTGGAGCAGAAATGCTGGATGGCTTCTCTCGGGTGTGTGCGCTTCTTTCTCCTCTGACACTTCCACTTCTTCTCTTCTTAGCGACCGGGCCAGTGACTATAAGTGGCCAGTTTAATTATGTATTCAAAAGGGGCAAGGGATGCTAATCGTCTCGCTTACATTTTGTTAGATTAAAAAAAAAATAACTGAGTCAAGATTTCTATGGTACAATTATTCTATGGCACATTAAGTGACACCAAATCTTTTAAGGGCATGCGAACAAAAAGAAAAAAAAATCGCTCGACCCCTGTAGGGAAGGTGTCGTGCAGAAATGGACTAGATTTGATCACGCAGCTTTGGGCAGATCAGAAAGTAAGTTCCCTACTTTGCCTAGACTTGGGCAACCGCGGGAGTTGTCAACAACCAGCTGCTAGAGTGGGATGAGTTCATGCTTCAGACCCAACAATAAAATCGTGTCACTGCTGCGCTCTTCTCCACGCCACGATTTTCATCCTGGCTTTAAAAATGAGTTAGTAGCGCGATTGCAGGGCGGGCTCCGCTCAGGGCACACTTAACGCAGATCGCTCCGGTCCCTACAAAGAGCTAGCAATAAAACGCTCTGCGAAAATCAGAGATTCAGGGGATGCCATTCAGGAAAAGGCATTCATTTCAGCTCCCATCCTATTTTAACAGGGATCCACAGAATACAGTAGGATCTCTCACCCAGCAGCTCACCTGAAGAAAATATTTAAGCAGGTGCCAAGGAAGGGAAGTCATGTAAACGCATCGATGCGACAAAGCGCGATGTTGGTTTTTGTTGGGGGGTTTTGGGGGGTGGGGTTTGTTGGGTTTTTTGTTTTTGTTTTTTTGCAAAATGGGGATTTTGGGTGTAGACAGGGCGCAATAACTGCGCAAAGTTTGCCTTACTGATACTAATGCGCCGCAAGGCTGCTTGACTCCCAACCCAGACCAGACGATGACTTTATTTTGTAAGGTTTTCATCAAATCCACTTTCAACCGGGAAGTTCAAAGCCGATCCGTCCAATGGCAAAAGTAATCCTTACTAATGACGAATTTTAATTCTGGCATCTGCAAAGCTGAGCTGCAAACAGACAATGTGCGCAAATCATTCAGGTGGCCTGCGCTATTTTGCATCTCTTCGGGACATCAGCCATCACCTGGGTCGCTGTTATTACGTCTGATCGTTATTAATATTACTTACTACCAAGGGCCCCTTTTTGTCCGTGCCCATACCAGCACCAGTTGCCTTTGGGAGAAGCACACAAACAGAAAAGAGGCGAAGAGACACCCACTTCCAAAGTTAGCTCCTGCATTTTAGGCTGTCGGGCGGATCACCCCTCATAAACCAAAAGCACCCACAAGAGCCCGAGATCCCTTTCCCCGCAATCCACTCGTTTCGTTTCTAATCTATGTAAAAATATGTTAAATATTTTTTTCGCAATTACCGACGCCCTAATGGGGGTAGGAGGCAGAGAATATGCCAGGCTTATAATAAGCCACCTGCTGCGTCGTGCCTAAATAATGTCATGCTTTATTTCATTGTTGTTATTGCTGCGGAGACGACATAACTAGACCTTACACTGGAAATCCTCCAGCTTATCAGATCGCCGAGGAGAGAGGAACCCCCGATGCTGACAGCGAGGAGAACCAGTTGCTAGAGGGTCAGTTCATTACAGTAACAAGCATTTGATTCCCTGAGACACGAAGCTGCTGAGACTGGACCCTCGCCTACCTGGGAGAGCAGCAGAGCCTGGTCTGGAGGTCTGGGCTGTGCATTTGCGCCTGTATTTCCCTGCCAGAACAAATCCCCCTTCGTACATGCGTGCATTAGGCTACAGAAGCACCTCTCCTGACCCCACATGGCAATTCACTGTTTGTTAGCAGAGCTAGTCCAAGGAGTTTCAGTGATTTGGACACATTCTGTGCAATGTGGCTTCAGTCTGTGTACTCGCCAGACGCGATGTTCATTTAGATCCAATGACTAAAGCGACGGAAGAGGAATTTAGCTCTAAACTCGGCTACTCTCCCATCTGAATAATATTAATGCACAAACGAAATCCATTTGGATGTTTAATGTTGCCAGAAGGCTGCGCTGACGTTCAAATGATCTAAACCTTAGCATCTGGGAGACTGCAAAAGCATCTTTCTGGGATGGCTTGTGAGCCATTTCGTTCAACCAAAGCAGAAGATGGATAAAAACGGGAACACCAAGCAACTGTTGGTAATAGCTTCCAGCCTCAATAGGGCTGGCTGCTTCGTTTGACAATACATGCACGAAAAAATGCCCTCCTACTTCTTGCAGCCACTGAGGGCATCCCATCCCCATCCTACCCTTCCCCGGGATGGAAGGTCCCTCTTTGGAGTCTGGTGTAGCATCCTGATGGCTGCATGTCCAGTCGATTCCCAGAGTTGGCACAACACGTTTCTGGGGAGATAGGTGGGAAGGAGGGACCTGAACTCAAAAAGATTCACCAGTAGGGTTGCTTGGTCGTTTGCCTGGTACTCAGCCACCCATGGACACCTTAGCCAGGCTGGGGGACATCTTATCGTAATGACACAGGGAGAGGGAAATACTCGAGTCAAGATTTCAAGAACTTTCTCGGGGAATAAAGCAGGACTTTTTTTTCCTCCTATTAATGCAGCAGAGAGAAAGCAGTTCTCGGTAAGGTGTCTTCTATCCGACAACAGAGTTAAGCACCTCCTGGGTGCTCATGAATATTTGTAGCACACTTTACATTTCATTTTATGTTTGCAAACATCATTCTCTCGCCTTTTCAAAGGCGTTTACCAACTTGGACACGAAACAGACTCGTGTTCAATCACATACAAAGAACCTAAATTATTCAAAAACTCGAGCAAATCTGTGGAGTGCTTTTCCCCCCGCCCTCCACCTCAAGTCCCCCGAAGACCTCCCCCACCCACCCACCCAGCCCCTTTTCAATTCCGGGGGCTTAATTTAGTAAGGAGGCTGTCAGGAAACCTCCTTTGATTGTACCTCAAGGTGATGGCATGGTGGGAGAGTGGGGGAAAGTTCATGCCTGTTTTGGTGCCTGCTTTGCCATTCTCAGAGCAGCTCCTGGAATGACATCTGGACCTGATCTCATTTGGGCTGACCGCTTAGTGCAGACTCCCACTTCCAGCAAGACCTCGCTGTCCCCCAGTATAGGTTGGCCAGGCCTATGTTAAGGATCGGATCGGACCCGTTTTGGCATTTGGGGGGCATTCTTTTATGTTGCACGATGCAATGCCAGTAACGCTTGTTTGTGCCCAGAATGTACAGACGTTCATAAAGAAATAAGCAGGGAGGCGCTCCAGTTTACAACCCTCAACATCTCTTGAAAGGACTGGCGGGCGTGTCCAAGAGCAAGGCTCAGGGCAGCAAAGTCAAAAAACCCAACCCCCCCAAACAAGCAAAAAACCAAAAAACTCCCCAATACATCGGATCCCCAATTGCCCAATTAAAGCGAAATTTCCTCCTGCTCCTAGTTTGCAACCTGGGAGCCACGGGACCAAAAAAAAAAAGGGAAAGGACAGTCGATAACGATAATGTAGCATATGAAACACGCGCACATGGGGTTTAATTAGTTTTTTATTACAATTAAAATGCATTCCCCACAAGGCAGCGTCAGGGAAAGGGTCACCACTATTTGAGCAGTCCAAGCCACAAAGAGCTAACTCCGGCTCTGCTTCCTGTGGGCTCTGGAGAAGACAAAGGCATGAATGGTCAAACGTAGAAAAAGGAGTTGAACCGCTTCTTTTTGGACGGGTCTTTTACGTTAGCTTGATCGTATGGACACTGCAGAAGAAATAAAATAAGGCGTTATTGCACTGTACAGCCACCCCGATAAAAAAAAAGCCCGATTCTGCTGACAGCTAAGAATCATTAATGATGGTGTATAAATTATTTGATCTAGTGTGCCCTTCAAACTAAAAAGGAAAATAATGGCAACCCCAAGCGAATGGTCCTAATTAGCGTCCAAGAAACCACTTCCTAAACGTGTCCTTCCAACTCCAGCGATTTGACTGTCCAAAGCAGTCTTTTATTCTTAGACTTCTTTCTTATTGCAAAATGTTCTGCATAACGGAGCTCCCGAAACAACCCCTCTAAGGGGACAACCCCAGAGTGCAAAGGAGCAGGAGGGACAGTAAAATGCTATAGATTTTCACTACTGTCCGGAATAACTGAATATGTCCTGATCCTGGGTTTCAAAGCCCGTTATTTATGCAGGATCTCTTTCCAGAGGACCCGGAGGAGCCCTTCGTGGAAGAGTGAGTCCTTGGCATGGCTTCTTCGTCAACTTCACCTCCAAGAAAGATCTCCAGTGAACACATCTCTTCAACCGAGAAGGCAAAGCAGGACTAAGTCCGAACCTGCTTACACTGGGTTCTCCACAGCCCTCTCTAACCTACTTGTCTAGATCTACTGCGGGGAGACAGGCGTTACCTTTCTGGGCACTTCGGACACTTCGCCCCAGTAGGAAGGTGATCACTCAGTTTATAATTCTGGGTCTGATGCTGTCACCGTTGAAATCAATGGGACTTTAGCCATTTATTTCACTGGAGGAAGGGTGTCCCCCTTGCTTCCCCCCTAACCCTACCCCGCGAAGGGTGTAACTTCGGTTTCGAAAATGTATTCGGAAATGCTCATTTCTTTAAAAAAATCACACCGTACTCCACACCTTCAGCTGCATCTCAGTCCGGGTGGAAAACCGATCCTTTAACAGAATTCTAGAGAGCTGAACTGCTTTTGTGGCAAGATGATTTATTTATGTTGACTCGTTGCTTTAAAAGGAGAAAGCTGGCTGGAAAGAGACTCTGACATGCTGGTTCTTCTCACAGGCATCTTGGACTTGCCCAAGAGATCATAACTCATACAAAGCGGCAACCCACTGACTCACTCCTGTGCAAGTCTCCCTCCAGCGTTTCCAGGACAATGTCAACGTCGAATGTCGCAACCTCCTATTTTAAGTTTCAGTCATCAGTGATCCCTCCCTGGACCGCTGTTCTTGGCTGGTCTAAATTTCACCGTGAAGCATGCAAGAGTCGTTAGCCTCCCCTAACACCAGATAGCAAAAGGATTGAACAGGCACAAAACAGAGTGCAGGGCACGATCTAAGGCTGCGGGGCGAGGAGTGCATACTCACATGTCTGCAGGCAGAGCCGCAGCATTTACCTCTCTGCAAGTGGGCAACTTGAGTGAACACTAAATAGCCAGTGAGTGGATCCACGTAGGTGTGCCGGCCGGCCTTAAAACAGAAACAAACAGCCTCAACGCTGTGCATTCCTCATCTGCCCGTGGTTTCACGCGGGCCGTGGATTGATCATGATCGCCTTAAAATCCAACTGCTTAAAACTGAAATCAGCTCTATTGGTGATTCGTGATTAAATGCATTCATACTACCATTATGTTCTGGCCCTCGCACCCAGCCCTGGCACCAGCCCTAGCTAGCAAGAGAACGGGAGAAGTAAGGGCTGCTTATCTACAGCACAGCCACAGATCCAGCCTTCTCCACCCGATTGCTCAGAGAGAACTTGCCTATTATCGACATTGTTCCAAGCTTGTCTAAGAAGAAAAGGGACTTTCACCTCCGGGTTGTAGTTGCCTTAGTAGTTCACACCTAGTGAAGTGCAAATGTCTGATGCTGAATGTGTGCTTCCAGAAAAAGGGGAAAAATGCAAATCGAAGCGTCAGCTGCTTGGGGGGGAAACCTCAACACTTTTCACTCTGGACGTTTTTCACTTTTGCACTTTTTACATTTTTCCCTTTCCCAGATATTCTTGATTTATATATAGACATAAATCTATATCTCGAGATAGAAATCTCTCTATATAATCTATCAATAATCTCTCTCCCTCTCACTCTATACATATACAAAGGGAATATATATTTCCAAATGTTCTTGATTCATATATGTGGGTGTCTACATTAATATCTATAATGAGATCTTGATTCATCTCTCTCTCTCTCTCTATATATATATAATGTTCTTGATTCATACGAATCAAGAATATTTGGGAATATATATTCCCTTTATATATGTTCCCTTTAGAATGTTCTTGATTATATATAATATATAGATCTATCTATCTATCTATCTATACATATAGGTAGAGTGATAGATATCTCAAGAACATAGATCGTTTGGGAATATATATTATATACATACATACATACATACATACACACACATATTTCCATATATATATATATATATATAACCCGTTTCAGTGCAGCAGCGGGTATAAAACAGCTTCTGCTGCTTGAAGTGCTACGTGATGATCAAAAGCAACTTTCATCACTCCAGACTTGAAGCTACAAGGAACTATGGAGCGATTTGCAAACACGGCGCGGCTGTTCAACTCCTTTCCCTTAGAGGAGGGCAAACACGGGGCTAGCACCCGCCCGCGGGGCTGGACCGGAGGGCGGCGAGAGCCCCTTCTCGGCCAGCGCGTCCCTCGCGCGGTGCCGGTGCAGCTCCCCCGCCCGTGCTCCTTACACCCCCGCGGTCGGCGGGTGACAGGCGGAGACGCCGGGTGCTGCCTGTCCTCTTCCGGCCGGTCTGTCACCTGCTGGACAGAAACTCCGGAGCTTTCCGAACGCGGGGGCAGTGACCGCGGGCCCTTAGCGCAGTCCCAAGCGAATCCTCCCCTTTGCCAATACAAGCGACACTTTGCAAGAGACCCTCCGCCATGGTGCAACCCCAGGGGCAGCGGGGC